CAGATTGACAGCCAGTTAAACCACGGAAAGGAGATGAACACACCTCTGTGGAAAAGCAGATTTAAAAATGAGCAAAGCCCAAGAAAAGCTCTCTTTTTCCTCTGCCCTGGGAACAGGTCACTGACCGGCCCCACGTGGCCAGGGTGGCACGAGGCTGGGCTGAGATTTCAGCCACAGCCGGGCCGTGCCACCAGGACTGTCCCAATGCCGCAAATGAGCAGCCACACGGCCACACCAAGCACCAGGAGCGGCCTCGTGGCCAGCACTGGAGGTGGCCCCAAAATCTGCGTGGCCAGGGCAGCGCTGCGCAGCCGCCGCTATCTCAGCATGGCCTGCCATGGGCTTTGCTTAACCGCTTTTAGGCAGGTGTGCTGCAGACAGAACAGCAAAAGCAGTGACAGGAGGTTGGTTTTTTCCTTTTTAGCAGTGCTCTGCATGAAGAAAAGGCGCAGGGGCAGTGCTGGCAGCCAGCACAACTCACACGGTGCTGCTGTGGACCACATGATCAACAGCGAGAAGCAGGCCGAAGAATCTGATGGAGAGCCTGGAGAAGATCAACCCTTTGGTGCTGTACAACACTACAAAAGCTCTTTCTGTTGCTAAAGCTTGAGAACAAACAAACCTACAAACACTAATGCTCTCCCAGATCAGGAAAAGAAAAGGGTGAAAAAACATAAAGAAAACAACATGGACACTGAGGTCAGTAAGGAAGGAGTCAAATTCTTGTTGGGAGGGGATTGCGGAGATGCCTTAGTCTTGGGCTGAAATTCTTTTGTAAAGCTATGGCAAAGATATATTTGATATATCAGCCTTAGTTTTTTCCCTATAATTCATGGGAGGATGTAACGTTCTAACCACAGCCGTGAGCAGAAGCATCAATGTTGAAATAAGCAGACGTTTCAGTAGCTGTGATCCAATGAGAAGTTTGAACAGAGAGAGATGATAATGGTGAAAAACCTTGCTCTCTGTTCCCAGAGATGGATTAAAAGAACTTTTGTTTTTATGCTAGAATAGCTCATCCTTAAAAATAACACCCCAGTAAGGTGACATGGCCCATGAACGCAGCTGAGGGAAGGCTGCGAAAGATGGGAGGCACTTCACGATTGCAGATTTCCAGGCAGCCACGAGTGAACTGTTCCTTGTTGTGGCAGCTGTAGCTTGAAACTGGACAGAAACCCCAATTTTGTGTACTGGTTTTGGTTTGCTAATTGGAGATTTCTCTCTTAATGCACTGAAATTAGTGTGGGCCAATCACTAGGGCCCTGCTATAGCGGCAGGGCAAACCCCATTGTGGGAATAATGTGTACTGACTCCCTGATTTCAGAAGGCTGAATGAAATACTTTGTTAAGCTACACTATATTACACTATACTGTATTACTAATGCTATACACTACAAAAACCAGACAGTCATGACACAGCTTTAACTTAATTGGTCAATCAGTCCAAACAATCGTCACCAGAGTCCAATTAAAATCTCAGTAAACAATCTCCATAACACATTCCATATGTGCCAAACAACAGGCGCAGCAAGTAGAGATAAGAATTGTTTTCTCTCCCTGAGCTTTCTCACTCCTTTCCTCAGGAGGAAAAGTCCTGGGAGAGAGAATTATGTCTCTCTCTGTTCAGAGAATGTGAATACCACATACTGGAATGTAATTACCCTTTTCTTGTTGTGAGATATGATTATGGAATGGCAAAGCAGTCTCAAAACTTGAAAACAGTATTATGAAAAATGTATTACTTATTTATTCTTTATCCTATTATTTTTTTAATATTTATTCATATTTATATTTTATTATTATATTTATTTAACAGTAACTAAAATGAAGGACTACTAAGAATTAAAAGAAAATCTTCAGAAAATTCCTCTTCGCCCTACAGCTTTTCTTTGCCTACTGACAATGCAAAGTGACAAAACCTAAAATTTCAGTCAGACTATTCTAGAGGTAGTAAACTTTCTTCATTTCACTTTGGGAGAGTAGTCTGTCTTGTTAATGTTATGGGGACTTCTCCACAACAAAACGGTTCATTCGTGGCTCTCTCCATGAATAGCAGCCACCCAAGGAAATCTGCAATCATTAAGTTCCTCCCATTTTCCACAAGCTTTTCCCGAGCTGTCAGTTTATGGGGTGTTGTCTGAAAGATGAGCTGTTCAAGAGCAAAGGTTCTCTTTATCTTAGGATTTCAGCCTAAAATTAAAGGCATCTCCTCACCCCTCCCATCTGGGTCTCAACTTCCTCTTCACTGACCTCGGTGTCTTCATGTTGCTCCCCTACATGCCAGTATCTGGTCCTTCTTCCCTGACTAGAGGGAGGATGGAAGCACTGAGCGAGTTAATATCTCATGTGGTGTGGATGAGCTTAGCAGCTGGTCTGCAGGCCAGACCACTGAGTTAGCCGAAGAACAAATTGATAAAATACCACTTTATCCATAGCAAGGACGTTAGCACGGAAACCGATAGAATAGACACATAAGGGATATTTGCTGGGAGAGGAGACGTGCATTACTGAGCAGCATTAGGTACCTTAAAAATTTGTAAACACTTGCCATTTCAGTACCTGACATTAATTTCTTTGTACCAGTAAAATGCAATAAGCTGTTTCTTTCTGAATGTGAAGAACTTTTTGTTTTGATGTAAAGACTTTTTAGGAGCGTAAAACTTCAGAAGAATTTGTAACAATAAAGGAGGTACTGTTACTGTCTTTGACAAGTGTGTGTGTGTGTATGTCGTGTGTCCATCTCAACTGTGACAGCCCGGGGCCTGCAGATGCTCACCTGACCCCGGCCGGGCTCAGTGCTTGTGGGGCCAGAGCTGTGGCTGGGCTGGGGTGGGCCAGGATCTCAGCAGCCAGGCCAGAATGCAGCAGCAGCACGCAAAGCGGCTGATGACTTTCTCCTCTCCTTGCCCGCTGGTTACGGATGAACCCCAACGGTGGCAGAATCTTGGCTGAGCCAGCCCAGCCTGGGTCTGCTTCTGGAGCCTGGCGGACCTGGCTTTCCCTGGGCTGGTGGCGGGGCAGGGCTTAGGAGCAGCCAGATGTCAGAAACTGTAACCACGGCCCAGCCTCGCCTCAGCTCCGTGGCCTGCCCTCCTCTGCCTGGGAGATGGAGGGGCGCTGGTGGTGCCCCATGGCAGGGGCCACCTGCCATGGCCTGTCACCTCTTTACCAACCAAAAATGAGAGATTTCCCGTGATTTTTTTGGTTTTTGCATGGGTGTTCCCAGAGGCGTGTCAGCTTTGTCTTTGCACCCTTCTGTGAGTGCCTCCCATGCAAAACCGCTACACTTGTGGAGAAGTTTCCATGGCATGACACGAGAGACTCCTCTCTGCAAGAGAGCTGAAGAAAGGCTGTTTTGAGTTGGTAAACTGAGTGAAAGTGCCAGGTTTTTGTCTCTTTACATTGTCAGTGGGAAAGAAGAGAGCGTGGGAGGGAGGATAAGCATTACAAAGTTTTATTCTGATTTTCTTTCTTTTTTTAAAATTTTTTAACTCAGTGAATAAAGATTTTTTACACCGTTTAAAGTTTGGAGCCTGTTTTGCCCTCCTCCTCCTCCTGATCTGTAACTCACAGCAGGAAATGAGCAAACAGCACCAGTGAGCGCTGGGGTTTGACCAGCACAAAACTCACCCCACAATGGGTGCATTGGCCGGAAACTCAGACTGGCAAACCCAAACCTCTTCACTGAATTGATGTTTCTGCCTGGTCACGAACTGAAACCTCTACAATTGGAGATATTTTTATGGATTAATGGGACACCCCCCCCCCCCTTTAGACAAGAGATTTTTACGGATATTTGAGATATTTCCATGAAAATTCAAGATATTTCTGTCCCTCAAACCCCTTAAAGCCACCAGGGAGATTTTGGGGTTTTTTTCTGACCCCACATCCAGCCCCCAAGGGGTTTTTAGCTCAAATAAGGCAAATAAACAGAGCTCAGGGGCATTTCCTGCCTTTTGCTTCCTGTTCTGCAGCAAATCAACCCCAAATCAGGTGACAGAGGTGACAAATTCAGCCTCTGGATCAGGTGATGAGGGGACAAAATTCAGACCCAAAATTAGGGTACACGGTGGTGACAAAAATCCACCCCAAAATCAGGGGACCAAATGATGGAAATCAGCCCCAAAACCAGGTGACAGGTGACAAAAGGCTCTGGGTGACCTGAAGCCATGTCCCCTCCCCATCCCAGGTGTCCCCAAAGTAAGGACAGAGCTCCTTGTGCCATCACCATGGCTGTCAGGGGGAGGTGATGCCACGAGGGATGCAAAAATGATGGAATTTTGAAATATTCTGCATGGGATATAAATATCCTGAGCCATGAGTGTTGCAGCTGGGACAAAGAGCCCAAAAATCAAATATTTACAAATATCAGCAAATGTCCAAACATTCGCAAATATCCAGCTCCTGCACAAACACCCCAAAATCCCTGCCTGCGGGTGTTTTCAGCCCATTCCATGGGCTGCTTTAGATGGGAGTTTAGGGATCCATCCTTCCCTGGCCCAGGTGGTCCCATGGATTCCCCATCCCTGGGAGTGTCCAGGGCCAGCCTGGACAGGGCTTGGAGCACCCTGGGATGGTGGGAGCTGTCCCTGCCCATGGAATGAGCTTTAAGGTCCTTTCCCACCCAAACCATTCCACAATTTGGGCTCAGCCTCGCTCCTCAGGGATGCCCTGGAGGCTCCAGTCCATGGGCACCAATTCCTGAATCGTGACATTCTCTGGGATGACACTCTCCAGGCTGGTCTCCACAGAGCACCTGATCCATTTGTCACACACAGCCAAGGTGACACTCTTTGTCCCAGTGGCCACCCTCTTCTTTCCTTGGGAATGGAATTGGGGTTTTTTTAAACACCTCAAATTTACATTGAAGTGTGACTTACCTTTGTTTGATGAGTCATTTTTGTCACAAACCACATCTGAAGCCCTCCCCTCACCCAGGCACTAAAAAACCACCCAGGCACTCTTCCTCTTCCTCTTTGTGGCACGCATTTTTGGGTGCTTGGTGCCCCAAATCCTCTCCGTTTCTGGACGCCCATGGATGTGTTTTGGATCCCTCTTCTCGCCACCCTCATGCTCCTCCACCAAACCAGTGAGTGCCAGGTGCTCCTTGTCCCTTGGCACGGAGCCTGTGGGGGGCGTTGGGGTGGTTTTGGGGACCTCCAGGAGGGTGGGGATATGTGGAATCAGCTCCACAGGATTGGGCAACCTCCCAGAGATGGGGCAACCAGGGGGAAAGATGCCCTGGGCATGGGAACCCTCTGAAAAGGAGAGATCAGGTGCAGATGTTCTCCAGACATCCTACTCTGCCTTCAGCTCCTGCTCCTCTCCCCGTTGCCTCCTGGTTTTTGGAGGTTTCATCGTGGCGTGTTTTCTGGCTGAAAAGAGGGAAATTGGGCAAGGTTCGGCCCCAGCCCGTCCCCACTCTGAGGGGGTTTTCCACGTGAACCATCCCACGGCTTCATTATTCAGTACATTTCCTGTGAGTTTATCTTCCCCAGCAGCTTTTTCCTTCCTGATGCTCTATTGTCCGTGCCCCAGAGGCTGAGTGAGAGAGAAATTCTGAGCCCAACCTTAGGGCTGAGCCAGGATCAGTTTCCTGTTAGAAAAACTGGGAAGAAAAACTCCATTCCCAGTATAAATTGGGTGGCATGGTTATTTGGAAATGGGAAGTTGTGAAAATAACAAAAACAACTGCTTCCTCCTTGAATTGCTGACCCAAGGTAGCGGTGTGGCACCTGGAGGGAAGGGATGCATGCAGAGGGATCTTGGACCTTGTCCTGGGCTGCATCCAAAGGAGTGTGGGAGGGTTCTCATCTCTGGAATGGTGAGACCCCACCTGCAATCACCAGATGCCACCAGTCCTGGTGTCCCCAGTTTAAGAAGGTCATGGAATGGTTAGAGTGAGTCCAGAGGAGTCCACAGATTCAAAGAGGGCCTTCCCTACGGCCACAAGGAGTGCTCAGCCTGGAGACGCCATTCTGGAGCTGCCCCATCCACCCTGGCTGTGTCCAAGGCAAGGCTGTCTCCAACTCCTCGTTCCCCTTTCCCTTTCAGTTCCCCTCCAAGCTCTGTCCTTGGCACAAGACGCAGGGGGCTCAGCCTGGGGGTGGCCTCGTGGTTTTCATTCTCCCAGGGACCCTTCCATGAGCCCCCCATGAGTCTTCAAACACCCCCAGCCCGGATGGGCTTCAGTGTCAGGGTTCTGCAACTTTATCCCACCTTCATCCCACCTTGATCCTAGCTAGATCCCATCTTCAGCTTAACTTCATACCACCTCCAATCCACACTTAGCACTTCCTCATTCCAGCTTCATCCCTGTTTCACCCACCTCCATCCCAGCCTTCCATCCCACCCCATCTCATATTCTCTCTTCACTTTCTCTCCCCAGCGAGTGCCAGCGACAACACGGAGGTGATCGGGGTCCTGGGCGGGTCCGTGACCTTCCACAGCCACAACCCAGATGGAAATGTAGCATTCTGGAATTTTGGGAATGAACCCATAGTTACTGTGGTATTTGAGGACCCTCCTCGACTCATATTTTTCAAAGACAAATTCCAAACCCGTTTTGCTGTGTCTGAGAGAGGCCGTGCACTCAGCATCTCCCAGCTGAGGATGGAGGATGCCGGGAGCTACTCTGTAACCATTAATGGAAAAAGATCCACCTTCACCCTCCAGGTGTTCAGTAGGTGCCTTTAGTACTGTTCTGTGAGGGTTTACCCTAAAAGAGAGGTTTGTGACACCCCTGTGCCCACAGGGAGGCTGGCAGAGCTCACGGTGACCTGCGAGGCCCAGAACTGCTCGGACGGGAGATGCAGCTTCTCCCTGCGCTGCTCCACGCCCGACGCCAGCCTTGGGAACGTCTCCTACAGCTGGAGAGTGCAGGATCAGCTATTGGCTGAGGGCCCCATGCTGCTGGTGAATGAATCACTCTCAGATAAGCAGGAGATTCTGACATGCGGAGTGCAGAACCCTGTCAGCAGCAATAACGTCACCGTCACCACCCCCGTGGTGCTCTGCCCAGGTGAGAGCCGGGGACAGGTGGGGAAAGGTGGGATGGGCTGATCCTGATCCCCTGAGAGCAGGAAAAGCTGGCATTTTGGGTTGGGATGGGAATGGAATGTTGAGGTTGGGCTGGGCTGATCCCACTCTCTGGGGTCCGGCTCTCCCTGGGATGCAGAGGGAAGCTCTGACCCCTGTCCCTGTTCTCTCCCCTTGCCAGCAAAAAACACCCACCCTCCGAGCCCAGGAAAGCTGCCATCCCTGTCCATGTCCATCTTCACTCCTGAGTGAGTGTCCCCAAGTGTCCCTGAGTGCCCAGGGCAGCTTTTCCACGTCCAGCCAGGAAGGGCGACTGGGGAGCCCGAGCCCAGCACCCTCCAGCTCCTCCCAAAATCCCTTTCCTGGGAATGTCCAGGCTCTTCCCAGCGGTACCAGGACAGCACAAGGAGTGCTGGCCACAAACCCAACCCCAAGAAGTTCCACCTCTGTGTGAGAACGTCTTCCCATGGAGTGTCCCCCTCAGGAGCCACCCGAAACCCACCTGGCCGTGTTCCTGTGTCCCCTGCTCTGGGTTACCCCATCCTGCCAACACTGGGAGATCGCAGGAATTCCTTTCTGACCAAACAACTGGGGAATTTGGGAATTCTGGGATCCTCGTCCTTATCCAGTCCTTGTCCAGGCTCTGTGCTGGCTTGGAGTGAGATCTCCTGGAATGAGGGATCAGGGTGGGATTTGAGGCCAAATTCCCTCTGCCCCAATGTCAGGAAGAGCCAGGTTTATTTTGGGAGTTGCCCCTGGATCTTCTTTCATTTGCCAGGTGCCAACTCCAGCAGCTGGATCAGGATCGGCGTCGTAGCCGGGGTTGAAATCGCGTCGCTTTTATCAATTTACCTCGTGTTCTACTGCAAATCCAAAGGTGAGTGTGGAAAACCATCCTTAGAGCCCAGGAAAACCATCCCAGGAGTTGGGACCTGACAGGGGGGACAGAGCCAGGATGGGGCTGATTTGGGATGGATTTGAGGTAGATTTGTGGTGGATTTGGGGCAGATTTGGGGCATATTCAGGGCGGATTTGGGGTTTTCCTAATTCTGTCTCATCTCCCCCCGTGGTTTAACCAGTTGTTGGGTTTTTAGTTGGAGAAGAGCCCAGGGGCTTTGGGGTTGGTTCCCTGTGGGGTGGAGCCAATCCGCTGGTGAGGTCTGAGGAGCCAATCATCTGGCTTGGTTTGCAGATTGACAGCCAGTTAAACCAGTGGGTGACCTGCGAGGCCCAGAACTGCTCGGACGGGAGCTGCAGCTTCTCCCTGCGCTGCTCCACGCCCGGCGCCAGCCTCAGGAACGTCTCCTACAGCTGGAGGGTGCGGGATCATCTGCAGGATGGGAACTCCGTGGTGCTGCGGGTGAACGAATCATCCCGGGAGGAGCCGGAGACGCTGACGTGCATGGCATGGAACCCCGTCAGCAGCAGGAGCTTCACCGTCACCATCCCCGGGGTGCTCTGCTCAGGTGAGAGCTGGGGACAGGTGGGGAAAGGTGAGATGGACCGATCCTGATCCCCTGAGAAACGTGGGAATGTTGGGGTTGGGATGGGCTGGTCCTGATTCCCTGAGAAACACGGGAATTTTGGGATTTGGGGTTGGGTTGGGTGGGATGGGATGGGATGGGATGGGATGGGAATGTTGAGGTTGGGATGGGCTGATCTCGGTTCCTGTGAGAGATATGGAAAGGGGGAGGGAAAGGTGGGATGGGCTGATCCTGCTCCTCTGAGAGCCAGGAAAAGCTGGGATTTGGGGATGGAATTTGTGGTAGGGATGGGATGGGAATGTTGGGGTTGGGCTGGGCTGATCCCACTCTCTGGGGTCCGGCTCTCCCTGGGATGCAGAGGGAAGCTCTGACCCCTGTCCCTCTTCTCTCCCCTTGCCAGCAAAAAACACCCACCCTCCGAGCCCAGGAAAGCTGCCATCCCTGTCCATGTCCATCTTCACTCCTGAGTGAGTGTCCCCAAGTGTCCCTGAGTGCCCAGGGCAGCTTTTCCACGTCCAGCCAGGAAGGGCGACTGGGGAGCCCGAGCCCAGCACCCTCCAGCTCCTCCCAAAATCCCTTTCCTGGGAATGTCCAGGCTCTTCCCAGCGGTACCAGGACAGCACAAGGAGTGCTGGCCACAAACCCAACCCCAAGAAGTTCCACCTCTGTGTGAGAACGTCTTCCCATGGAGTGTCCCCCTCAGGAGCCAACCCAAACCCACCTGGCCGTGTCCCTGTGTCCCCTGCTCTGGGTGACCCCATCCTGCCAACACTGGGAGATCGCCGGAATTCCTTTCTGACCAAACAACTGGGGAATTTGGGAATTCTGGGATCCTCGTCTTTATCCAGTGCTTGTCCAGGCTCTGTCCTGGCTTGGAGTGAGATCTCCTGGAATGAGGGATCAGGGTGGGATTTGAGGCCAAATTCCCTCTGCCCCAATGTCAGGAAGAGCCAGGTTTATTTTGGGAGTTGCCCCTGGATCTTCTTTCATTTGCCAGGTGCCAACTCCAGCAGCTGGATCAGGATCGGCGTCGTAGCCGGGGTTGAAATCGCGTCGCTTTTATCAATTTACCTCGTGTTCTACTGCAAATCCAAAGGTGAGTGTGGAAAACCATCCTTAGAGCCCAGGAAAACCATCCCAGGAGTTGGGACCTGACAGGGGGGACAGAGCCAGGATGGGGCTGATTTGGGATGGATTTGAGGTAGATTTGTGGTGGATTTGGGGCAGATTTGGGGCATATTCAGGGCGGATTTGGGGTTTTCCTAATTCTGTCTCATCTCCCCCCGTGGTTTAACCAGTTGTTGGGTTTTTAGTTGGAGAAGAGCCCAGGGGCTTTGGGGTTGGTTCCCTGTGGGGTGGAGCCAATCCGCTGGTGAGGTCTGAGGAGCCAATCATCTGGCTTGGTTTGCAGATTGACAGCCAGTTAAACCAGTGAATGGAGATGAACATGCCTCTGTGGAAAAGCAGATTTAAAAATGAGCAAAACCCAAGAAAAGCTCTCTTTCCTCTGCCCTGGGAACAGGTCACTGACTGGCCCCACGTGGCCAGGCTGGGCTGAGATTCCTGCCACAGCCGGACCGTGCCACCAGGACTGTCCCAACACCGTGAGTGAGCAGCCACGCGGCCGTGACAAGTGCCAGGAGTGGCCTCGTGGCCAGCACTGGAGATGGCCCCAAAACCCAGATCGACCACAAGGCCGAGACTGTCCGACCAAAATCCTCACGGCCGGGGCAGCTCTCACATGGAACTTTGTTTGCTTCATGGAAATTAAAATTAAAAGCCAGGAAAGAGCTGTTTCTTGTGGAGAAGTCTCCATGGCATGGCAAGAGAGACTGCTCTCCACAAGAGAGCTGAAGACAGGCTGTTTTGAGTTGGTAAACTGAGTGAAAGTGCCAGGTTTTGTCTCTTTACCTTGTCAGTGGGAAAGAAAAGAGGGTGGGGAATAAGCATTCCAAAGGTTTATTCTGATTTTATTTTTATTTTAGCTCAGTCAATTAAGATTTTTTTATGCCCTTTAAAGTTTGGAGCCTGTTTTGCCCTCCACCTCCTGATCCGTATCTCACAGCAGGAAATGAGCAAACAACTCCAGTGAGCGCTGGGGTTTGACCAGCACTAAACCCACCTCAAAATTGGTGTGTTGGCCGGAAACTCAGACTGGCAAACCCAAACCTCTTCACACTCTTCACCAAGAAAAAGGGGAAAAAAAAGGATTCCTAAATTTCCAAACCCCAAAAACCCCACAAAATTGCCACCTCCGCTCATCCTGCCTGACCAATCCCAAATCCATCCCTTCCGGAGTTTTCCATCCCCAAATCTTCGCTCCAAGGCACAGCTGGGCATTGAATCTTGGGGGAAAAAACCCGAATTTCTGGCTATTTTTATTCCAATGATCCCAATGTCCACTGGAGTTTCCAGGAGAATTCCACAGGGACGGGAATTCCAGGGTTTTAGGGGTGCTGGTGGTCGGCAGGATTTGGGAAGCCCAAGCACCTGTAACCCCCGTTATCCTGCAAGGAAATGGGTGGTATTTGGGGCATTTTGGGGATTTTTTGGTCCCAAAAAACCCTTGTGGATTCTCCATTACCTCCAAGCAGTCAGTCGAGACCAAAGCTTGGTCCAGCCTCTTCCTCTTGATGGAGGAAGGCTGTGGGGAAAAGGGGAAAAATTCCCATTGGGAAAAGTGGGATGACAATCCCAGAACCTCAGGGGACATGGATTTGGTGTCCCCATGGCTTGGGGACGCTTCAGGACAGCCTCACCTTGTGGCCGAACTGGACCGTGGAGTAAATGGTGAAATTCTCGGGCTCCTCCCGGTGCCTGGGGTGCTCCTGCCAGGGAAAAAGGGTCGGGATGCACAAACAATGGGAAATTTTGGGATAAAAAATGGATTAAAAATGGTGCCAGCCTGGGAATCAGCTGGGATCCCATGGGAATGACCCTACCAGTGTCCTGGGAGTGACCACGGCGTAGATGGTGGCTCCTTCCTGGGTGGCCTCCCCCATCCCGGCCTGGGGACACAAAAAATGCCTGGAATGGTTAAAAGGATCAACTTTGGTTTCCTGAAATACTCACACAGAGGGAATTTCCCCATGGGAAGCCTGGTCAGGCCTGGAAACTGCCCAAGGTTTGGGTTCCTGGTCCTGGAAGTGTCCAAGGGATGACCAGACCCTGAGTGACCAGGCTGGGGTCAGCCACAGGGTGGACTCCATGACCTTGGAGGGCTTTTCTGATCCCAAAATTCCCAGATTTTAGGTAGGAAGGGACATTCCAGGCACTCACGGGGTCCTGGCAGGGTTTCTTCTCTCCCACCTCGGCATAGACAGTCAGCTCTGAGCGTCCCGGGGGGGTGCTGGGGGTCTCTGTGGGGCCAGAATTCCCAAATTTGGGTTCCAAGGGGTGGTTTGGGGTCAAACCCCCAAAATTTGTGATCCTGCCCCCATCCCAGGATCTGCTCCGGGATGTGCTCCGGGATCTGCTCCGGGATCTGCTCCAGGATCTCCACCGGGATCCGCCCTGGGATCTGCTCCAGTATATGCTCCTGGATCTTCTCTGGGATCTCCCCTGGGGGATGCCCGGGACTGGCCCAGCTGTAGGAGACGTTCCCGGGGCTGGAGCAGAGCAGGGCCAGGGTGCACCAGCCCCGATCCCGCTGCAGGATTTGGGATTTCGGCTCTGGCAGTGGGATGGGGTGAGAGGGGACAGGGGACGGGGGACGAGGGACAGGACAGATGAAAGGAACGTCCTGGCTGTGCTGGAGGAATTCTAGTGGGATCCTGGAGCTGTGGGAAAAGGGAGAGATGCTCTGGATGCACCTGGAGCTGGGAATGGTGGCGGATCCATGGGAATGGCCATTCCCACACCTGTGGAACCAGGACAGACCATTCCCACACCTATGGAACCAGCAATGGTCATTCCCACACCTGTGGATCTGGGAATGGTCGTTCCAAGGTGTGCCCAAAAGATACCCCAGGCACCCTTAGATACTCCAGGGTCAATCCATCTCCCAAATCCTGCAGTTTCCCTGCTCCCCACAGCTCAGAATTACTGCTTTTAGGAAAAAAAAGACCCTGGCTCACCACCTGCTGCCTCAAAATCCTGGGAAACAAATGGGGTTGTGCACTTTCGAACCCCAGGAAGTTCAGCTGTTCAGCTGGAGAGAAGAAGTTCTGGGGTGACCTCACTGTGGCCTTGCAGGGGGAGGGTTCTCATCTCTGGAATGGTGAGATCCCACCTGGAATGGAGACATCCCACCTGGAATCACCAGATCCCACTAGGTCTGGCTTATTCTCTGGGTTCAGCAACTTCATCCCACCCTGATCCCATCTTGGTCCCACCTTGATCCCAGCTTTTCATCCTACCTCCCTTTCCCCTTTTCATCCCTCCTCCAGCCCACCTCCATCCCACCTTGATCCCACCTTCACTCCTCCTTCATCCCAGCTTCATCTTGTCTCCATCCCACCTTCCTGCCCCCTTCAACTGACCTCCATCTCACCTCCATCCCACCCTGAGCCCACCTCCATCCTACATTCCCCCCTCCTCCATCCCACCCTCATCTCATGTTCCCACTCTGCTTTCTCTCCCCAGTGAGTGCCAGCGACAGCAAGGAGGTGATCGGGGCCCTGGACGGGTCTTTGACCTTCCACAGCCACAACACAGATGGAAATGCAGCATTCTGGAATTTTGGGAATGATCACATAGTGAGTGTGGCATTTGAGGACCCTCCTAGACCCCTATTTTCTAAAGACAAATTCAAAACCCATTTTGCTCTCTCTGAGAACGGCCGCGCGCTCAGCATCTCCCAGCTGAGGATGGAGGATGCCGGGACCTACTCTGTAACCATTGATGCAAAAAGATCCACCTTCACCCTTCAGGTGTTCGGTATGTGCCTTTAGTGCTGTTTTGGGGAGTTCTGAAATAAAAGAGAGGTTTCTGACATCCCGGTGCCCCCAGGAGAGCTGGCAGAGCCCATGGTGACCTGCGAGGCCCAGAACTGCTCGGACGGGAGCTGCAGCTTCTCCCTGCGCTGCTCCACGCCCGGCGCCAGCCTCAGGAACGTCTCCTACAGCTGGAGGGTGCGGGATCATCTGCAGGATGGGAACTCCGTGGTGCTGCGGGTGAACGAATCATCCCGGGAGGAGCCGGAGACGCTGACGTGCATGGCATGGAACCCCGTCAGCAGCAGGAGCTTCACCGTCACCATCCCCGGGGTGCTCTGCTCAGGTGAGAGCTGGGGACAGGTGGGGAAAGGTGAGATGGACCGATCCTGATCCCCTGAGAAACGTGGGAATGTTGGGGTTGGGATGGGCTGGTCCTGATTCCCTGAGAAACACGGGAATTTTGGGATTTGGGGTTGGGTTGGGTGGGATGGGATGGGATGGGATGGGATGGGAATGTTGAGGTTGGGATGGGCTGATCTCGGTTCCTGTGAGAGATATGGAAAGGGGGAGGGAAAGGTGGGATGGGCTGATCCT